CCCCATTTCATTGCTGAAATACATACCTGGTCATTTTCTTGTAGAGTCTGCAAAGGACTTCTTCCCGATTTACCTGAGAAACTGTTCCAGCCCGAAATCTGTTCAGAAGCTACAAGCACACAACAAATGCAAAAGATGAGAAATGGCAACAGAAAGATAATGGATCTAAAAGCAAAACATTTAGACATCCACTAAACATTTGTTACTTAAACATTGGTAAACATTGGTTAATTTTATTGCTATTACATATGGTCATTGTAAATTCAAGCCTCTAACCCCTAAGCTTTAAACTTCGGTGTGCATCTCGCATTGAGAGCTGTACTAGTAATTTATGCTAAACATCTTTTTTAACCATACATTGAGTGCATTAGCTTATATTAAAGGAACATATATTGATCAGAATATCACCCAGAAAACCCTAGAAACCACATAGCAACATGCTAAAAACCACTCTGAACTCCCTAGCGACCACATAGTACTGCCTTGGCAACCACTCACAACATCCCAGCATTGTGACAGCAAGTTCTGCATGTTCAAGCACCACTCGAATTTTCCTCCGAAAGAGCTTCTTTGGGGTTAAGAGACTCATGACCTTGTGTGGAGACGACAGAGATCAAAGCGCTTTGTCTGAATGATCACATTATGGAGCTATAAAAGATTAGAGCTGTTAATTCTCAGCATATGGGGTCCAGACGTTAAGGCTGGTCCACAATTACTGCCTTTTCGGACTCCTGCACCTAGCTGATCGGCCATAATATCCTCCTTCACATTTGCATTCTCTATAGGAACAGTCTGTTCTCTTCAGTCCAAGCCACTTCCCCCATTACTCCCCTTCTCACCCACTCTCTCTCTCTCTCTCTCTCTCACAAACACACACACACACACACACACACACACACACACATGGGGCATTCCTCTGGATCATGATGCACTCGTGGTCCAAACGCACTCCCACAGTCTTCCACATCAAAGGCCCTTGTGTGCAGAAACACATGCGTAGCTTTCCCTTGGAACAGAATATTTTCCTCTCATAAAAGTGCATTCTTTTAATAGCACACTGGAGCAGGATTCCACGTGGGAATCCAGCCAGAGCAGTCTAGGGCCGGGTCACGCGACGAGACGACCCCCACGTAGACAGCCCAGATGGGTGACATTATACTTGTAGTATGTCGTTTTTGCACAGCTGCTATGATTTCTGGCTGACCAATAGAGGAAAACTTTCCAGAGCGAATACATAAGACTTTGGTGGGTTTTTTTAGTCACTGCATCTGAATTTGCAATTTGAAATGAGTCACCTACTGTTGCCATGGTGATCGAAGATTGAGAAACACATGTGCCAGCTAAGTCAAAGGGATACTTTAAATGCTCAGAAAGGGAGCGCAAGCTAGCAAGTCTGGACACTGAGAGAGTGGAGGAGTAACAATCATGGCAAATAGAGAAAAGGCACTTTCCGTTAATAGCTTCTAAAAAAGAAAACCCCAAAATGTTATTTTTCAGTAAATGGTCAGTGAAAGGAGGTGCTTAACTCTCAAAAACGCTGATCATCAATCTCAGAAGGACAAACTAAAAGCATTTAAGATTTGGGGGAACTTTTTTTTTGTCTTTTTATATCAATAAACACAAAAATACATCATAATTAAATTTAAAAATGATGCTAAAATCAGATAATTTATAAACAATTTATAAACCAATTTGTACCATATCTGTGGAAAGTGTCAAAAGACCTAGTAGAAAAATATTAATTATATGAGGATCAAATTGAAAATGGAAGGGAAGAAGAACATGAAATAACATGGAAGGGGCAGAAAGAAGGAAACGGGGAGGGGGTTGAGTACATATACAGACCAAAATTTCTGCTATGAAAGCAGGCGCTGATGGCTTTCCCAGCCTTTACATACACTCAACTGGACAGATGGATAAATTAAATTAATATAAAACTATAAATAAGCCAACACAACATATAAATGAATAACTTCTACAGTGAAAATTAAGTCTAAATGTGCTTATATTTCTTTTGTTTTTGGGCTTATTACTGTATTACAGTTACAGTAAAGAGTGACAGTGCAACATTTGCAAGTGAAATGCTTTTGCACAATGAAGTCTATACTAAGGATGTGCAAGTTTTCAAAAACAAACAGCCAGAGCATGATAACAAGTACTCTAAACAACTAGTAGAATCTGTACGGCTAGTTCACTTATCAGCCCTGTATTATAAATAAGCTGCAAAATTAAGGCATGTGAATATTAATTAATTCAGTCATGAAGATGTTGCTTGGTAACCTTCCGGGAGCATCTAGTCATAAAACTTAATTAATATTCATGATTGCTTAATTCGCCAGATGATTAGCACCCACTCAACAACGTCTGCCTTTCAGCCAATACATTAGACCTGCTCAGTGAATGATGAAAAAAATTTTTTTAGCATAAAGTCTTGAGCCGTGTTGCTCACATACGTTTCAATGTGAAATATTTGAGATAAAATATGCTCCTATTTGTTGCAAAAGCTCATATTTATGACCCAGTGAAGTCAGTTTCCTCACAACAGATAATTCAGTTGCTAAATGTTAGTGTACAAAGTCATAAAAAAGGAAGTATTTAGTGTTACCAAATACCATAATCTGATGTCTGTGTCAAGTACAAACATATCAGAGCTGCCATCGTAAAATTATGTCTTTTCACAATATACTCCTAATCATAATCAACAGATGGGAATCTTTTTTTTAAAAGGAAGTCTTAAAGTGTATGCAAGAGGCCGTTAGGAGCTGTCTGATTCATAACCACAGAATGACGTGCAAGCTAACTTCCTCTTGTGACTTTTTTTTTTTTTTTTACAGGAACATAGTAACTTATAAAGAATTGCTACAAGAAAAAGACAAAATTGAAGTTTAAACAACACAGTATCACCCAAATAAATACTAAATGAGTTCCTCAAAACAACCCTAAGCTAAGCATTAACGGCTTCCAAAGGTGGGCAACAATGAGGTCTCTTTTTAACCTTGTTAGTATGCACTATGAGTGGGGTTCCACAAGTCAACCGAGGCCAGGCGGCGACAACAAAGGTTGTTTGCTGGAATGCTACACAGGCTTGTGGCCATTTATGTTGGCCTGTGAGGGTTTATAGAGGACAACACACAAATCAGCAGGCTTTTATCAAAAGTTTGCAAGGTAATGGGCAGGAAGCCCTCCTGCGGTGCTGCAACTGCTCCCTTACTAATCGAATTCTGCTCGGCCTCGTGTGGAGAGAGTTTTTTGTTCTGTGCGGTGACTTTTGAGTTTTTGTTTTACTCCCGAAATCAAATGATTTATCTTCTCAATTGTCTTCACAGCTGGTGCTCTCGCCCCTATAGTCTAAATATAATTAGACTGCAGTACATTGAAACACATTCAAATGACTTTGAGGATCATGTTACTCTGGTTGAAACAACAGTGGCAACATAAGAGCTTGTGCTTCCTGGATGCTGTGAGTGATGTCAGGAAGCATCATAAATGTGTCATGAAACCCATCAGAATTAGAAGTGAAACTAGTCTGATGATGAAATCAGAACGTTTCACAAGTTGTTCTTGTTTATGCAAATGTGCATTAAAACCATTTGCCACAAGTCTTGACTCGTGTATGTTTTCCCAGAAATTGCTACTTCAAAAACACAATTTCCAGTAGTATATTAAGACATAGGCTAAAATACCGCAGAAAAGTATGAAACTGACTTACTGTAACTTCTAGTTTGTCAACGTCCTCTTTTGTACCTTGTAGGGCTCAATGACAAGAGTTTTTTGTATAATATTGTAGCTCAACATTGACAATTTTTCCATGACTATTCAAAAAGTTTGGGGTCATTAAGATTGTTTTTTTTTTTTGACATTGTTTGAAAGAAGTCTCTTATGCTCATCAAGGCTGCATTTATTTGATAATAACAGTAATATTGTATTTTTCTTTTTTACAATGTAAAGTAAAAAAATGTTTTTTTTACTTTCACTGATTTCTATTTTATATATATTAACAACATATTTATTTTAATTTATTTCTGTAATGACAAGATTGAATTTTCAGTAGCCATTACTCCAGTCTTCAGTGTCACATGATTCTTCAGAAATCATTCTGATTTGCTGCTCAAGAAACATTTCTTATTATTAAAATTATTGAAAACATTTGTGCTACTTAACATTTTTGTGATATATATTTCAGGAACTTTGATTTAGCATTTATTTGAAACTGAATTTATGCAACAATGTAAAAGTTTTTACAGCCACTAGATCAATTTAATGCATCCTTGCTGAATAAAAGTTTTCATTTAAAAAAAAAAAAATCATACTGACACCAAACTTTTAAATTATTTATATATAATAAGATTAATATATAATGTAGACCATAGAATTTATTTTTATTTCTGTCAAACCTTGAATGTTAAATTATGGAGGATGTTCTATACATAAGCGCGCCATAATTCTAGGAGCTGCAAAATTTAGGCAGTAATGAAATGTTAAGCTATGAAACGAGATCAAACATGATTGAGAATTACTGATTTGATCAAATTACAGTGCAAAATTATTAAAATGCTTAGGCTGAAATTCTAATGAATACCTACTGAGACCTGTTTCTGTAAAAAGGAGTTTTACTTGCCATAAAGTGTTCTCATGGCAGAGGGGAATAGTTTTCTAAATAAAGCAATCATTTTCCTTTCTGCCCCAAGCACACTAGTAAGTAGAACTCCAATGTGTGCCTTAATATGCCATAAAGCAAAATCCATTACCAAGTGAGGAATGTGCTTAATCAGAGATTTGGATAAAGTTACGTCCACTCAAAGTGGCCCAGCGCATCCTGCTGTACAGTATTCCATTCATAGCATGAGCTTTACTCTGATAACTATAGACGAAATTGAGAAGACGGAAAGAGATGCATATGATACGAAATGTGAAGAAAGACTGTGCTTCTCTCTTTCTCTTCAGAGCCTCAGTGTGAGGGTGTCACTCTATCCCTGACTAACATAGAGCCATGACTGTTCATCCCAAATCCCAAAATTCAATTTTAGGCTGGAAATTTCCCCTTATTTATTATGCCCTTCTCTCTTTCCCAGTCCTGAAGCGTGAACAAATTAATAAAACAAAAGAGAA